CACAGAAGCTCTAGCATCTAGGCCAACAGGCCCCACACGGGCAGCCAATGAGACTAAAGGGCGACAACTAATTAATTTCATATATACAAATAACATGTCAATTATGGATTTAGTAAAATAAACTTATTCAACTTAAGGAAATACTGGGTTACAGATGGAATAGGTAGGTCTTAAGACGAGTTTTAAAGGTGGAGTATGTTGCAATACAGCGAAGTGATGAGGGAAGCTTATTCCATAATTTGGCTGCTGCATGCGAAAAAGCATGGTCTCCCCATGAATGACGGGTACGGGGAATTTGCAGCAAATTATCACTTCCAGATCTTAAGGTACGAGCTGGATTGTAGGGGTGTAGTGAGTCTTTAATGTATTGTGGCGAAATTCCACAGAGAGCCCGATAAACAAATAACATAATTTTGAAGTGGACCCTTTTCTGGACAGGTAGCCAGTGAAGAGAGCGTAATATAGGCGTAATAGAAGACATTCTTGGTGTGAAAGTAAGGAGTCTCGCTCTGGAATTTTGGAGGGATTGCAGTCTGCCTTGCTGCTGTTTTGTGAGTCCAAATAGAATAGAATTACAAAAGTCTAAGCGGGATAAGATTAATGCATGGATTAATTGTTCGCATGCTTTTTGAGTCAGAGATTTTCGTATGAACCCAAGGTTCCGCAGTTGATATCTCACAGACTTTGATATGCTAGATACATGTTCAATAAATGACATATTATTGTCAAATATCACACCGAGGTTACGGATCTTTGAGGCGGGCTTTAGAACTTTGTCACCTACATGCAAGCTTAAATGAGTATGATTTGCTCTCAGTAAAGAGTTCTTAGAGCCCAAAATGATAAACTCAGTTTTATTTTCATTTATTTTAAGACCGTTGGAATCCATTCAGTCTTTCATGTCATGGATACAGGCTTCTAAAGTTCTCTAACATCGGCAATTGCATCTGAGGAAGGATGAACAGAAATGAAAAGCTGAATGTCATCAGCATAACAATGATATTTTATATTATGCTTTCTAATTATTGTACTAATTGGCTCAAGGTAAACTGAAAACATTAACGGGCCACCAACAGACCCTTGTGGCACACCATATGAGAGATAAGTTTTGTCAGATTGAGAGTTATTTACAGAGACATACTGGGTTCTTTTATGAATGTATGATGAAAACCACTGCAACGCAGTGCCTGTTACCCCAAGAGACTGTAGTCTCTTAACAAGTATTGTGTGGTCAATAGTGTCAAAAGCACTTGACATATCAAGTAGCACAAGAAAAGTAATGTTACCTTTATCCATTTCCGAGAGGACACTGTCCACAAGATTAGTTAGTAGCGTTTCCACACTATGGTGAGGGCGGTAGGCAGATTGAAAATTATCAATTAAATTATTTTCAATAAGATATGTGAGAAGACGTGAGAAAGCCACTCGTTCTGTGAGTTTGGACAGATACGACAAATTTGAGATAGGTCTATAGTTCTAAAGACACTCACTGTCCAAATTAGATTTTTTTTCAAGGTGGGGCGCACTGCTGCAATCTTCATACTGTCAGGAACTATCCCTGAACCAAGACTTGTGTTAATTATAGTTACAATTGATGGTATAATAGCAGGGAGACATTGTTTCAAAAGCAATGTTGGTATGGGGTCAAGTTCACTGGATTTAGAAGGTGAACTCATTATGATTGACCTAATCTCATCAGTTGTTGTTGGAGATAGCGTATCTAGTGTCTTCTCTGTAATCAAAGGAATTTCAAACCCTCCGATATTAGTAAGAGCTGATCTGACATTCTGAATTTTTTCCACAAAGAAATTGTTAAAACGATCTGCAAGATTTACATAAGTAGGAAGGGGAGGTTTCTTACTTCTGTTAAGTAAAACGTTTGCAACTCTAAACAGCTGTCTTGTACTTGTGCAGCTTTCAACCAGCATAGAGTTATATGATGTTTTGGCAGCGCGAACACTCAACTGCACTAACTGACGCTGGTTCTGATATTTCTCACGATCAGACTCTAGGCCTGATTTAAGCCATTTGCGCTCCAATTTCCTACGTTGGAGTTTTTTGTTTGCAATATCTTGACAGTACCACTTTGTGTTAGGACGAACTGTGACACATCTCTGTTTCACAGGAGCATACTCGTCAAGGACAGTTCTTAATAGAGAATTATAACATTCAACAGATTCTGAAACATCACTATTTGAACAGTTTCCTAGGAGAGATAGTTCAGTGATTTTTTCCATAAATGATACAATACTTATGGACTTAATGTTACGTGTGTGTATTACACTCTTTGCAGCAGGAGGTTTTATTAGGTTCAACTTACAAATTATGGCAGAATGGTCGGAAAGACCATCCACCACCATTACATCCGTCACATTATTTATATCTGACTGGCGAGTGATTAGCAAGTCCAGAGTGTGGCCATGTATGTGTGTTGGGACCTGAATATGTTGTTTAAGGTCATAGGCACTTAGAGTTTCGAGGAAGAGCCTGGTATTTGGCGAAACATTATTAACATGAATGTTGAAATCCCCAGCAATTAACAAACTAGAATTCTTAAAAAGAAGGTAGTCTAAGAGACAAGAGAAATCATCTATGAATTGCTTGAGAGAGGATGAAGCACTCGGGGGCCTATAGATAACACACACATCCATAGATACAGAATTATGTACAATACTGATTTCAGTCATTTCAAATGTACTAATATTAAGTGAGGAAGGAACAACTTTAACATCCAAGTTACTACGATAAAGGAGTGCAACTCCACCACCTCTTTTATGGAGTCTTGGTGTATGACAAAACCTGTAACCACCTGGATTTAGGGCTGCTATCACAGCATCATCATCTGGATGCAACCATGTCTCACATACACCAACAACGTCAAGGTCATTATCTATAACAAAGTCATTGAATTATTATCGTCATCATCAACATTATCAACAGTATTTATTACATGTATCATTCTTTGTCACGGTTTTATAGCTGAATGCTTTCTTCTTTTTTTCCTTCATAAATTAAACAGTTAGTCTGGCCAATTGTGAGTACTTCTTGTCTCACAATTGCTACTGTAATGCCGTAGACCGTACAGCCAGCGACGTGCAGGGTGATGGGCAGTTGTAGATACCTTGAGAGTTATGGGAGATCAAGTTGGATGATACATGGCTAGCTGTAGCTAGTAAGTAGGGTATTTAACTTACTAGAGCACCTGTGAATGATGTTCTAGCTGTCTTGTACCTTAAATTGCTGGAGAACGGTGCAGCAAGATCAGGCATTTTTATGTATTTTTTTCGGTAGGGCTAGTTCGTAGTTAAGGTGCTTGCTTTGTGTCATCATGCCATT